GTGCTCGCAAGCCTCACTATCGAGTTGTTTTCCTCCCATAGACACGCCAAAGCGCCCGACGTAAATAAGATGAAATTAATGTTCAAGCCCAATCAATGGCAAAATACTATATTTCTGACCTTCAAGGGATGAAGGGAGGAATGATTTCGATACCAGGGACAGACACGCATTCTAAAGCAAGCGTTTACTGGTTTAGAACGCAGGATAGAAGACACAGGGCCAGATCGTTATAGAATGAAATTGCGTAGAAGCCATAACAGGTCATGAACCCATCTTGGAGTAGAGAGAAGATGATCAAAGTGCCCAACTCTGTTAATTTCTTGAATACGAGCATAAACTGCGTCATCGGGCATACCCATAAAGCTGAAAAAGACTTATGTTTTTAATTGCTGAATTATTTGCAGAGCTAAAAATAATCTTAACGTAGCACCGCTTAACCGCCGCCTCGGCCGTGCCACCGCGCGACAGGGCCCAACGGGACGCAACGGCGCCAGAAAGAAGTGGGGGGGGACGAGGTGTTTCGTAAATTTCACTTTACGACGCTCCTATTCTGTCCGATTTTCATGATTGTCACGCGTTGGATTCCTAAGCATCTCGTATCGCGCTGAGGCCACATTTAAATTTGTTCTCGGAATTGAAACAATTTCAATTCGCGTATTTTGTTAGATTGTTTGGGAAAAAAGGTAATCGTAGCGTAATTCACTTTAAAAAGCGTCAATCCGTTACAGTTCGAAATGACTTAATTTTCAGACTTATCGGTAAAGTTAAAATTACTTATTTTGGTGCTGCCACGTGGTGGCTACAAATTGTACTAGTGTCGGGACATTTAGCCTTAAAATCAATTGTATGTATTAATTGTATCATTAAAGTTTTAATTTCATAGTCGCTGTAGAATGTTTCATTTATTTACTTTACGCTCTCCAATGCCAATCGATGCTATATCCCTTGGTTGTGATGGTTGCAAGAGCCCGGTGAGGCGACTACACTTTCACCTACATTTATATTCGGCTGCTAAGTTTCGTTCACCTAAAGATGTCGCTACAATTTATTGCAATTCCCGAGGAGTCGCTCACTTAGTTACCACCAATTTTATCTTAAAGAATGGTATATTTTAGAATCAATGAGAACAAATCAGTTTGGCATTCGGCAACGTCCGCCTCAAAAGTATTCTAATTTTAAGTTCTCACAACTCGATCCAAAAATAATCAACATGCTAAAACCCGCCTCCATGTATCGCTTACCTACTTAATTATACAGGCAGCTTCCATTCGAGTTTTCTGAATAAATTAAATTATTCTTTCTGTATAGATTCAATATCAACTTCTAACTTACATCATCAAAATTAAATATAAATAAGTGAAATAATCTTGACCACAATGTGATAACGATTTTATTTAACATATTATAACGCATGTCCAAACTAGTTTCGGGGAGAATTTGCCCATCTTCAGTGGCTATTACGGCAATAGCATCTTCAATATGAATACATCCCACAAGATCTCGGGTGAAACTACGAAGTTGTTACGTTGTTCAAGTTTTACTCCGCATTTCCTCTAACAAACTCTCCGAGACCATTGTAACCTATCCTACAGCTCTCATAACGTCACATTATGGGCTTCTCACATACATTAAAATTACTTGAGAGGTTATAACGCAACAATTTACTAGTAAAATATTCCATACGTAAATAAACTAGTGGTACAAGAAACAGTACATACGTTTTCGCATTCTTTCTAAATTTGAAATGTTTGAAAAATTCAGAGAATTCAATGAAAATGGGGCCTTTGACACTCTTAAGCGTCATTCGTTCAACCCGAAATAAACATTTTGTAGTGGATGTTGAAAAATGTTGTTTTTTATTAATTGCAAGCGTAAATTACATGAAAACTACTTGTTTTTTCAAAAAAGCTGCACATGACCTTTTTTAAAGAGCTAATTTTTAAGAGCAAATTTAGTCGAAGGCAAAAATCTCTATCTTCATACTTTATAGTTTTGAAATGATTAAAAATTCCAGGCTCGAAAAACTAAGATTATCCCGTAAGTATAGTAAGCTGGAGATAGCGGTGATCCTTCGCTGGATGACAAGATCCAACGCCGTCTTGTCCGTCAGGATGCGCGTTTTTCCCCAATCAGGTTTCTCCCACCATCAGGTCACCGCCCTAGCTGGGACGAGTTCTAAGCTCCGAACAGTCTCCCGGCATGTTTGGTAGTGTAGTAAGTGAGTGGAAGTAAGGGGTGGAAATAGAACACGGAAGAGGAAAGCAAGATAACGCGCGGTTCATGGCCCATTTGTTGGTACTGCTTCGGTATTTGTGGGTGCTGAACGAAGAAACCACGGAAGACTACCAGTTAGAGCGGCCGCCCGCTAGAAAACTCCTCCAGACAGAGGTTGAATTCGACCTAGCAATGTAGTTGGGATCGAAAATCCTGCCCTTAACACTCGAACCTAGGGAACTGATGCCCTGAAACACCTAAACCGATTTTTCGAAATGTTAAATTCTTGTAATTTTCGACAGTACAGAGTTAGCCGGAAATGAGACTAGCACCATCTTATCGTATTTTAATAGATACGGTGAGAAAATTTACAGAACAAATTGGGAGACCTTTTAGAGAGAAAAAAAATGATTTTAAAAAAAGTAATAGTTGCCTTGTATCAGGCAAAACTACGCGAAAAGTACTCACATTTTCGAAAAATTGTGTATGATCTTATTTCAAGATTTCTTTGAAGAACAAATTTCATTCGGGAAAAATTATATTTTAAATATTGTAGTTGCAAGAAGACGCAGAAAAACAAGCTTCTGTAAAATGTTCGAAAAATTAAGGATTTCAACGAAATTTAGACTTACACATTCTCGTACGTTTTCCATTACGCTAGTCGAGTACAAAGTTAATTTTTTTTTAAAACTGGAGCCTGTTTTTGAGAACATTTTGAAAACGTTGATAAGGCTGTACCCCCCAAAACCTAAATATTAGCTTGAAATTCTCAGGGTATAGAGTTCCTTTACCTCGCTTGGATAATATTAATATTTGCAGAAAATCGGCTGAACGGTTCAGGGCCTAACACTGACCACATACAGGCATATATTTAACCGTCAATGCTTCGGTTTCAAGGACCCACAAAACCTAACTACACGTGTGGAAAATTACTTTTTCTAACGTGCAGTACATGTTAGAGAAAGTAATTTAATATTAATAGGGACAGTTTTTCGTTATCATGGCCCAGCAATAAGAGGTTTCAGTTGAAAAATCAAGGTGATTTAAAGTGGTAAAAATGGTAAAAAATAGTTGTTTTCTTTATTTTTTTTTTAATTTTAAAATTTAATAAAAATACAGCTCAGCAGTTGAAAAACCTTGAAAAAATTGACATTTTCGTTTCAAGAGGAACTTTTGAGATTTTGTTTAAGCCTGTTCCACAATACTAAGACAGTAAAAATTATTTTTTGTTACTTTTTTCAAAAATAAATTATTATTATTATTTTTTATTTTTTGCGTTTGAATTTGGCACTTTGATAATTTAAAGGAATATTTTTCTGATAGTATAAATTATTTTATTATCTGTCATTTTTTTCAATCAGATAGTGTTAAGTTGGCGAGATAATTTTTTTAAAAATCGTTTTTGGCTGTAGAGAGGTAGTGGTTAGTGGTTTGGGGGCTAAGAAACCTTCCAAAAATATTGTTTTTGTGTTATAGTGTAACTAGAGACATATGACATTTGTACATATTGTAACATAAGACATTTAGTTTAGGGGAACGTTTTACCATTGATTCAGGGATACCCTTCTTCGACTGGATCCTTAAGTGACCCGCCATACAGCAATTCATGAAAAATTGCATATCTATCAGGGACAAGTGCCACGTGTAGCATCGTTAAATTAAATGTGAATTAATGTGACACGTGAATTAAATTTTGTTTACATTCCCTTTTATTGATCAGATTGTTGGTTTATCAAAAACATTAGTTTTAGAAATAATTTAATTTTCCAATCTTTATAACAAGATCCAATAGAACCAATAGAACAAATAAATAGTATGTTTTAAAACATTGCAGCAAAACCCACCCTATTATATGGATGTGAAATGTGCATCTTCAAACAAACAGAAGTAGAATAGAAGCAGCCCAGCTCAGATGCCAGGGATCCCTCATAGGTGTGTCAAGAAAAGGAAGAATAAGAAAATAAGACATAAGAAAATAAATGTAAATAAAATAGAAAGATACCAAAAAGGAAATTCCAAGATCATGTAAGAAGATCGAAACAAAACAGATCCTGTAGAAAGGCAAAGAGGAAAAAGAGAACCACGCAGGTCAAGGAAAAGATGACAGGAACATGAAAGAAATTAAGAAAAGATGAACACCTCAGCAGAAATTAAGGAATACAGGATCAAAGGAAAAGGCCTCCATGCCTACACGTTAATAATTCATGATGATGATAATGATATTGGGATTTAGGGGTGAATTGTCTTGGAGAAACAGGCTGTTTTGTTCTTGTAAGTTCTGTTTTGTTGTTCTGTCTTGTTCCATTTTTGTAAAGTAGACTTTTTTCAGTTCATACACAAGAAACTCCCTTCTCTGCTAGTTGGTGAAAGGAGCATAGTGAAATCTGCGTGGTCAGATGGAAGTGCGAAACTGATGGCCTGGGTTTCAACATGTAAAATCAGGCAACAATTCAATTCAATTTAATTCAAAACAAGAGCACAGAGCACATATACTATGATGTCTATGGAGAAGAGGCAATACAGTGCTTTCCTCAAGCAATGGAGTGGCAGCAGGTGCCAATGCTACCCACCAGGTGACACGTACAGCTCAGTATAGTTTCTTTAAAATGTGCTAGAAATTTCAAAATTCCAGTTGCCTTGTTAAGTGTTCAATTAATTATTAATGGATATTTTAAATTCACTGACTTTCACCTAGACTTTAAGTTGTTATATGCAAAATTTGGTTGCTCAAAGTTCCAAAATATGGAATTCTAAAAAGACCATACTTTTTAAGGAACAAAGTTTACCACCCATTTCATACTTTCTTTCAATATGAAAGAATCAACACAAACATTATGTTTCTGAGAAAGTAGACATCAATTAAGAAAACGCACAATTTTCTTTACATAAAGTATCCAGTGAAGTGACACATTCAGTAAATAAAATACTGCAAATACATATAGTGTTCCAGATGATAATTTATTGATACCATCAATCACAGTTTAATCGTCATGTAAATTGTATGTTTGGCAAAGCAGAGAAATGTGATCCTTTATCAATGTTTTTGACAACGTAATTAAAATTATTGTGAGACAAACATCTGAATAATCAAAAGTAATGAAATGAAAGGATGAAATATCCAAAGGTAATTGAATAGACATGTGAAAAAAATTCTACATTTAAAAAAAATATAAAAACAAATTAAATCAAGATATTCAAATTTTGAGAGCACTGAATTCTTTCATGAAAATAATATGAAATATTCTTTCAATATTCTAAATATTTCACATAAATTTTTGATTCACAGAATAAAAACTAATAAATTCTTTCAGATTCTATCAGTCATTAATTCATAAAAAATGTACAATCTAAAAAGTATTGTTATAACAATGTATTTCCATTTTGATAATTTTAAAAACAAAATCAGTGACTCACTACTTGACTTGTGTACTTGAAAGTTTGAAATAAATAGCTACCAAATGAAATCTCGTAATACATAACCTAAATTCATCCAGTTGTTGAAGGTACCATATATTAGAAAAAGCTACCTTCATAATCTCATTAATTTATCCTAAAACATTTGATAGTAATAATATGTAATTTTATTGGGCATACATACATCTACAAATATTTCGGTCCTTACTAAGTCACTGATCAACCATTAACATCAGCATGTAAATTAAAACATTGAAGCTTTTGGTAACATGAAAAATCACAATTGCCTCGTATTTGCATTCACGAATAAAATTTAATAACATGATTAATTTTAACTCACTGAAATACATGTTATAGTATACAAAATATTGCAACAAAAATTTAATAATAATACATCAAATATTGCAAATTATTCACAAAATATACAAAATATCACATAAAGCTGCTTTACATTCACCTTTACATAAATTTGCACGTTGTTCATTAACAAAATTTTATTAAACATCAGAATCTAGTCATTGCTACGAGTGATGAAAAAAATTTATATCACAAAATTCAAGCTTAATATTACACTCTTCACTTGGCATCGTTTGTATGACATGGTACGTTATGCAACCAACAACAACAGCAACTTTGACACAATGACTGCTAAAATTCACAAATATTTTTCAATTCCAAATATTGAGTGAAAAATATTTGGCTTGTAGACATGAATGAAAAATTGTCATGTTGTTGTGGAAATCAAAATAAAATCTTACAATGTATTTCAACAATTTCATGCACAGCATTCAGATTAATTCCCAGTAATATTGAATAAGTGAAGAGTTCTGAATGAAATTTCTGAAATATTGTTTTGCCCCATTGCTCATTAAAAACAAACTTGACAAAGACAGAATTGGACAGGTAAAAAATTGTTGTTTTTATTTTTTTCCTTATATATTGGTTGTGACCAACACCCATCTCCCTTCTTTTTTTTTTTTTTTTTATTTTTTTTTTTTATTTTGGGCTTCTTGGTAAACCAGTCTATTGTTGTACAACCACAGCCAAAAGAAAGTGAATCTCATTAAAAAGTACATAGTAATAAGAATTAATTCCATACCATGCTATGCAACGAACAAGCAACATGAAAGCTGTCATCATCCCCAACCAAATGTTATTAATTAAACTTGCACCAGTTACCTTTTCTCACTAATTGTCTCCTGTGGATATACACAGGTACCTAAATGCACATTAGCAAAAAAATTCTAGCACACACCACTACATAACACTGTGTGTTACCAATTCGACAGAAAACTGAATAATAAAAATCCCTGTAGCTCTAATATTAGTGTATCACAACATCTTAGAGTATGTTAATAATTATTAAATAATGCACTGCACTGGAATTTCACTGTCCTCATGGAGATATATCAAATTTATTCAGTATTGTTAAATTCTTTTCCATGAAGAAAACATATACTATTTTCAGACATTGCACTTTTCTCATTATGAGATCATAAGATGATATTCAGAATATGTACTACTCACAAGCATAATTATGTAAGAGCAATTCATTTTAACTAATTATAATTTAGCTCTTTGTTGGTGTCACATATGAGTTTGATTTCTAGACCAAAACTCCTTATTTGCAAATCTACACCCTAAGTGTCCTGGTTTTTCAATGAATCGACTATCAAATTTATATAAGCAATAGTGTAATACATCTTATGATATACATAAAAGTGTAAAAACAAAGAGACTTACAAAAATCTAGTCAGGACAAGGTCCAAATAATGCACATAATATATTTTAGTAATAGTGATTACACATAGTGCAAGATAGAAGTTAAAGTTATTTTACAGTTTGTAAAAAAAATTATCCTTAAAGGATTAAATATCTTACAACACATAAGCTTACTTAACATATTAATAAATAACTAGTCACTGTATATTTTCAATTTTAAAACATATTTCCATAACGAAGGCAACAGCAAGCCCGCCTGCAGTTACCATCAATAAATGAGCTTCCAGAAGCTAGACTACAAATTGCTTTCAATCCTTTCGAGAGCATTGTGATCTCCTCAGAATAAAATTAACCACTGCATTTGTCCCAGTATCTCTCTTACAGAACACAACAGATACACCAACAAAATGTAAATAAATAAATTCATATTGAAACAATGTGCACAATAGCAACTGCAGAATTTCTTGTGCATTAAATTACATCAGTCTTTACAGGATCCACGTACCTAAAAGAATCCATGTACTATCTCGAAATTACATATGTTAAAAATAACATGCAATTAAGAGGCATAAATAGTCCCAAATATTGTGTCACAACTTTACAGAAACTTTCGTTAAGCAACAGTCCTTCACTAATGATCTGCTAATAATATCTCATCCCAAGCTGCAGTTAGGTAATGACTGGTCTCTTCACATCTTTGCCGAAGAGGAGAATTAGAGATATTATGAAGAGGAAATTCCTCCTAAAAAACAACAAATCAATGAAGCAGCATGCCTACCAGACACGCAATAGGCAGCATGTTTAAATTAAGCAGTATGTTTAAATTAAGCAGCATGTTTAAATTAAATAGTACGTTTAAACACGCAGTATGTTTAAATTAACAATCATCTTTAAGTAATAAATCTAATACCTACAACATTAAAACAGGTCTTTGCAATTATAACAAAACACAAAAAAAGTTCAAGTGATGTCTGATTTCATTTTTTATTAAATCATTTTATCTAGAAGTACTCACTAGTATATTTATAAAAGACCTTTGAAATAATAATAGTAATAATAATAATAACATGTCTAATGATAATAGTTAAAAAAAAGTTTGAAATCTACCTGCATTAGGATTTTCCAGATTCTTTCCAGATCTTGCTTGAAATTTAACATTTCAGCACTATCAGAGAAATAAACAGCCCAATCTCCACTTGACTCGTGTACTTCATGGCATGCAAATTCCTGTGAAAAATATTCATAATTTTCTGAAAAACTATTAAGCTTTTAAAACAAGTGTTACTTCATTTTCAAATGAATGTTCATTTATTCAACAGATACACATAAGAGCAGCTACACAATGCAAAAAAAACATGAATACCTCATTCCAACAAAGATTACAGGATATGTAAACACACATTTTCCAATAAATAAATAATTAAATATGCAGTTACCATCAATAAATGAGCTTCCAGAAGCTAGACTACAAATTGCTTTCAATCCTTTCGAGAGCATTGTTGATCGTCCTCAGAATCAAAATTAACGCACTGCCATTTGTCCAGTATCTTCTTACGCAAACCCAACAGATATACCCACACAAATGTTAAAATAACATAAATTCTATATTGAAACAATGCTGCATATCTATATAATATATAATATACACTATATATATATACCTATATATCATAACTATATTCAATATAAAAATTTCACAAGTGTTATTATTCTACGAAAATTAATTTATTATAGACGCTAACTTTATTGTTACACTGTGTTAATGGATAGTGTACACAGGCTTTGTTTGCTGCCACAATTATAAATAAAATAAAGTACATAAATAATAAATAATAATAATAATAATAATAATAATAATAATAATAATAATAATAATAATAATAAAATTATGGATTTGGCATTGGATGATCATTGTCAGAGTGTCACAAGAACAGAAACAGAAGGTACCTAGTTTAAGTACCTAGAAGAGCGCATAAAAGCATGTAAGCAGTGTAGGTATTGCATGAAGAGTCTAGTCAAAGACTCCGCATGGCATTGAGGCAGTATAAGGCCCACCCTACTTTACCATTTTGGGAGGAACCATCACCGTATTGCTACAGCCGGGATACATGGATTTCGTCTCCTGGAATTCCGCCAGAAATGTACTGAGTGAGTTGAGAATTTGGGAAAATCTCAGGTCTATTTTAGATCGGAGAAGCTTCCAAGGGGGAAAAAATCTTCGGGGCAGGAGGTCTCACAGGGATAGGGCGTTTTATATTGAGTTTCTGCAAGAGCGTGTAGAGACGGATACCCGGAGGATGGGGTAACGATGGCCCGTGACGCGACTCGCGCGAAAGGCGCCTGTGGTGATTCGCACACCGGCATTGTGTATGGTATTCAATGACCGGAGGGTCGATGGAGACGCTGACCCATAAATACATCCATAATCTAAGATACGAGTACTAAGGATGATAATCCTATGTAGGCGCAAAAGACATACTCGGTCGTGCGCAGGAGGTTCAATGGTGATACACAGCGGCATTTCAAGTTTTGAACGTGCTTTCGCCATGTTAAACTCTTGTCGAATGTCAGGCCAAGGAAAGTGGCACATTCCACGAAGGCAAGTTGATGATCCACCAAAACAAAGATCAGGAAGTATTCTATAGAAGTACATACAATTGGATTTTGAGGTGGAGAGCTTGAACCCAGTTTTATCGTCTTCGTTCTTGCAGTTAGTTGAGGACAAGCTGTAACTGCTTCTTAATAACTTGAGTATGCTCTTCGAGGAGCAGATATATATATATATA